AATTATTCCGACCAGGCCTCTAATCCGGGACAGTTCGAAAATGATGTCGAGGTCGTTTGGTCACGTGGTCACACAGCAGACTCTGTTTTCAGAGTGGTRAGTGATAAGAAATTTAATTTGCAATTTTAAAACATATCAAAGAATTTCGTTAGTTGTCCATCGTTTAGCAGCYATATATGGTAATCTTACCTTATTTTAAGTACGTTCAGACTGGTTTTTGTCCGATTTTCTYGACTTTTCAMGCATGAAATCGTCTGAAACTTGCAGATGTTATAGCGAAAACACTTCTGAACAATCCACCATTTTGTTTGCTTCCATATATGGCATGGATTCGCTAAAGAAAGCCCAAAACTAAAATGTTCAGGGATCCCGCACGAATGACATACAGTTCTTTGATATGTAATCACGTGTTCTCATAGTCCACCAAGTTATCGACAGTGACTACCCCCCCTWAGGAGATGTTGTTATTATCTGTTAGGGTCGAGTGGGAATTAATACCGACAGGCCTTGCGAGTCACTATCAGTCCATGGTAATGTACGAGTCACGGGGAGAATCATGATGCCATCTGATAAACGAATTAAAGAAAACTTGACCGAGGTAATACATTACTGTGTATTATATATTATAGCCATCATAGTCCGCACTCTCTGATTGGTCAAATGTTATTGTTTATTTCACCAGTACAAGCACGGATGCGAAAATGCTATAATATAAAAGCAATAAACAACACGGCTCGAAATTTTTTACACCATCGTGTTCTCTCGACATCACGCGTGTTTGTTTGTTTTTTGTTGTGTTTGTTTGTTTTTTGTTGTTGTTTTTTTCACCAGGAACGCACGAAAATGTGCTGTTTATTGTGTAATTATACAGCATTTCAAAGAATACGATAAAACGCTACCGAAATGTCACTGTTTCAGTGTGACTTAGCTTGCCAACTTTAATAACATAATGGAAGATCAGACAGTGACCGACTATTGATTAATAGATTTTAATGTTTTGCGGCTATTTGATACTAGACTTCACAGGTTTTTTTTTGTTGTTGTTGTTGTTGTTTTTTTTTTTTGCGTTGGTCTTCCTGTGTTGATTGTCTTGATAAGAATTTTTTTCCTAACACAGGAATCCCACGAATTTAAGTTACTTGCGAACGAGTCTAGTTTAATACTTTCACCTCTGAAGTTCTAATTCAAAACCTCTTTGTTTTCATTAAGGTTGACAGTAGCGAGCAGCTTCGAAATGTCTCCAAAATGAAGTTATACCGCTACAGTTACAGCCAAGAGTATTTGGACATTGCTGGAGTGAATACGGATCTAGATACTGGTGTCATAGCTCAAGAAGTTCGAGAGGTCTTGCCAGATGCTGTCAAAGAATCGGTAGGGCACAAAAAACATCGTCGCGTTCAGTAACTCTGTCGAGTTTCTGTCATTCGTATAATTTTGCTTTTTAATGTAATAACTAAATTAATCAAAACAGCATCGTATTAGCTTTTTGTTTTCTCCATTCCTTATAGGAAGACCTAAAGCTTCCCGATGGTAAAAAGATCGAGAAGTTTCTAGTTGTTAATAAAGTAAGTAAACAAAATTATACGTATACTATACGGGCGACCTCTTTGTCCGTTAATTTGTTGGTCGGTTTGTTGGTTGGTTGGTCGATATATTGATTGGCTGGTGAACATATTGGTCAGCTTGCTTGCTTGCTTGCTTGCTTGCTTGATTGATTGATTGATTGATTCTTTGATTCCATAGGAACGGATTTTCATGGAGAATGTTGGAGCTGTCAAGGAGCTTTGTAAGCTGACAGACAAACTAGAAATTAGGATCGACGAGTTAGAAAAAGTCAGTAAAAAATTACAGTCGCGCCGSCGAGCAGACACGTCCAGCAGTTGTTTTAGTTCCCTGTCAAGAGCAAGTTCGTTTAGGTAAGATTTGATTTGTTCTGCAATAAGGAKRGGCTCTTTAAAGTCTCTCGTTCCCAGRCTATTATCCYGTAACCGGCATGATCCCAAACGATATGAGAAGGGTCTGGGCACTGTAACTTAAATTTGTAAATTTGTAAATTCGCACTTATTTCKCCATTACCTATGTTGTATTATCTTATTATTAACTTATTATCTGATTATCTTATTATTATCTTATTATATTATTTTTAACTTATTATCTGTATTAATTTATTTCGCCATTACAACCCTTTGCAAAAATTATGAGAATTGTCTAAATATCTAAATATCATAATATCCATATCCATATATTGTCCGGAACACGCGGGTTTGCTAGAATAATTCATTGTTGACATCGAGAAAATGTTCAGAACTACGGATAAGTCCGTCGCCAAAAAAAACTAAACTACAAAGACAAGGGACTAAGGGCATCGCGCGGGATTACCCATCATGCACTTGATATTATGATATTTAGATATTTCAACAATTCTCATAATTTTTGCAAAAGGCTGTACCTATGTTGTATTATCTGTATTAACTGTATTATTTAACATCTCGAAGCTCTTTATCTAAAACTTCTTAGAGTTCCTTGATATTGTACCCAGACCTCAATCGGACTTTGCCAAAACAGGAATACCATTGAGATTAGAAGTGTAATGTTCTATCTATCCTTTGTTTTTCAGTCAAACTTCCTCGACACGAAGCACAGTCGATGAACCTTCGTCTCCAGAAAAGAAAACTAGTCGTCATGGTCACCGTTACCGCTGTGCAAGGCACAACTGTCAGCAGGTTTGTTTTTTATGACAATAGGAACATGGTCCACCAGCATCCCTTTCGAGCTTTTGCTCGTGTTTGAAATAAAAATACATCGTAATATAAGTAGAAACTTACTCTTTATTATTCCTTTATGCTCTATGAATGGAGATACTGTAAGATTCGACCTTTAAACAAATGGATGGAAACGGGTTGCGAATGGATATTCTAAGTCACCTCATTTTCCATATATGAAAAATATAAAACACGACAGCATTGAATGCTGGTGGACCATGTCCCTTTTAAATGCAGATKTAATGACACAGACTTCTCAACAATCGGCCATTTTGTTTGTGTCCATATATGGCGTATATTAGGCAAAGGAAGCCCAAAACTAAAGGCCAATCATACCACCATTTTGGAAAGAACTATCACTGTTTGCGGAGTTAGTTTGTGGTTTATTCGCTCAGTATTAATCATT